CCCTACGCGCTAACATCCGGGCCAACAAGAGTGATTAATATAAGTTGTAAAAACAAGTTTCATAATTGTTTGAAATAAACAAAGTTTCTTAAATGTACATATCATCTTGAGACTTATCACTCTTACCTTCGAGATCCTGTTTGCGTTCGGGTCGTCAAGGAAACGCCACATTTTAGGCCTCCATTTTTTCCAACGAGAGAGTTCAACTTGTTTAAAATCCTCAGAAATACCAAATTTTTGTCTCATTTCGAATTCTTCCTCGTTATCACTTTCAACATCATTCTCGGTACCCTCGAACTCAGCTAGGGTTTGCTGTGCATCTCGATGTGCCCTATACGTATGCCAGCAACAGGGTTCAATCTGGGTCTCATCCAGACCCCAAAATGCCAATTCCTCTTCGAACGCGGGGCCGCATACATCCATAGCTACATGTAACTTTCCAGTGCGGTAATAGTTAAGGATCATTTGAAACATTCCCGAATGTCGATCGAAAAAATATTCTCCGGTTAACGGGTCATAATCCGGATTGTGTCCTGAATGATCCGTCAACCAGGATAGCCGGGTATCTGGAATGCTCTTGAGAGTTGTCTTATAAGTTTCGAACCGAACACCTCCCACATTTATGACAATTTTGTTTGAGTTTCGTCGATTATGTGATTCCGATAGACGTGGTATCAGAGACGACTTTGGTGCAAAAATAGATCTCTTACCTGCCTGTAGAGACTCCATATCAACGCTATTTAAGACACATTATGTTCCGGTGAAGACAAGTTGAATACCAGAAGATGCCAGAAAGACTATGACAGTAGGCTCGGTGCGTTGCCATCGATTTGACAAAATTTGCTACGGTAGCGACAGTGACGAGGCAGACTCAACGCATGCATGATACTTACACGGCAGTCCCTGCATGACAACGGAGCGTCCTCCTCACACAGATCTGTCAGTCCGCCACACACAGACTAGCAGTGTTGAATCAGTTGTCAAGATAAGCAAACGTTGATGTGAGCGTGAGTACAGGCATATGACAGCACCTTTTTGTGTATGACAGCTACGCATGCGCATTGCTATTTTTGAAGTGTGGAAACTAGACAGGTGTGTAGCCTCTGATTGCACACACATTAATTAAGATATAAATATTGAATTAGCACCGCTTGTCCTGACCGGCTTCAAAGGTGGAAGGATGTCCAGCTCTTCAGTCTGCATGGTCACGTGATAGAGGCGATGACGTGCATTGTGTGTGATCAATGGGACACAAACATGCCGGACGAGGCTGTTTAAACACAAACAGTTGATACGGCTATCTTATCGAACTCGGAATTTCTTAGCCTTGTTTTAATCAAAGATTGTACGAATCTTCATCTAGTTCTGATATAATTACCGGGTAACGTTGCACAGTTCTCTAGTCAATGGCCAAGACACTCGCAGCTTAAACGATTCACCCAGTTAAACGTCGTATAATGTAGTTCGTCCATTTTATTTTTATCAAATAAAAGAAAAACAATTGAATTACTGACAAAGTGTCTTTACAATGTTATAATACAAAGTAAATACGGACTAACCTTCTTTGTTCCATGGCTACTTGTAGGGAACCAAATCTGGCCTACTGTGTACCTAACATGTGCATTTTCATATATTGCCATTATACATGTAACCACACTGTTAACAGGAGGAGTAGTGGTGTTTAGTCATTCAACTATATGTAAACACTATATACCTATATGGAACCGCACTGCTTGTCGTTATGTACATCATATAATTTCACTCGTTAATCACTGGATGATCAAAAGCTTATGCCAATCTCTAAAGCGTTGCACTCCCCATTAGGGTTAAAACCCAGGGAAATCGTCAATACCTCATCAATAAGACTGACATTTTTTAAAGGATGATAAAATATTTCTTTAAAATGACCTTAGTACCGTTTTCGTACCATATTTTAAAACAATTTCCCCCGCTTCCGCCCTACCCGTACTATCCCACTACCCCTTACTCATAAGTAGTGCAGATACCGCTTACACTTCCGGTCAAGAACCACGTGTCGCCTGTTGTTCTCTATACACTTACGTTAAGAGAACCAGTTCAGTTGCTGTATATATTTCCAACAGACCATTTATAATGTCATTCCATTTCAATATTACTTCACAAAAACGGTCATACTAGTTACATGTATATAGGGTAAACGGAGTTGAGCCACAAGGATGAAAGAGTCGAGATCAAGGACACAACCACGGCCGCCTACAAAACGGGAGCCTTACTGATGTACTTCAAACTCTGTCTCCACTGGTCCGTATCAATGAGGACGATATGGTATGGGTTTTTTTAAATTCTGTTTTGCGTTCAGATTAATGCCAGCTTTTCTTCCAGACAACTACTTTTTTCTGTATTTTCTGTTATGACCACTTGCAGTGAGATTTAGAAAGGGATAGAATAAAGAATAACTTAAGCTAACGATAATGAAAATACCGGCTCCATGTGGTCTGAATTTTATCTACATATAACTTAGTGAGTAGTAGGCTATACTATCTTCTGGAGTCCAATGCAATTGTAATGGTTTGTGGGAGACATACAAACTTCAAAAAATATGCAATACAGAATTAGGGAGATACCTTGCTGATTGTGTCTCGGCACTATATCGATAAGAGATTTATCCCTATTCCCTTAGTGGGCTGGTTATATATAGCCAGTGCACGTGCGTTGCCGTCACTGTCCAATTCTGTCCTCGGAAAAAGCCCGATATTCATCACATTGCGTGATCTAACGATCGAGCAAAGAGCACAGCCTCCAATTTGAATGGAAAAATACTGATTAAATATCCGATACCGAAAACATAAGTCTGTTTCATTCCTGGGCCGCTGGGAAATGTAAATATATGAAACAATAGTAAGTAAGATACTATCGTGTATTAGACGGAAGGGAAACGTGAACATAACCACGTGACCAAGAACTTAGGCATACAAAAATAACATCAACATATTCATTTTATCTGGTTTTAAGCTACAGCAAAGGATGTATACAACCTTATATATTAATCATTTAGTTTGTGTTATGGTTAAGGGCACATGTCACCATACACATTATATATGTACCAGTGATTTGTGTTAGAATGATCTACTGTACAGCTACATTGTACGTGTACCTTATACAGCCGTCACACCGGACTGGCGTCCCTACGGCGTCCCTACGGCGACCCAGGACGTGGGAGGGACGCCATGGACGCCGTAGGGTCGTGGTGAGAACGCATCAAGACGCCGTGGGGACCCCAAGGACGCCGAAGGTCGCAGAGCGACGGCGTTTACTTTGGACATGTTCAAAGTAAACGCCGAGGTTCGGCGTCCTGAGCGCGTCCTGGCTCAGGACGCCGTGGGATCGCCCTGAGGTCGCCATGGTCGCCGTAGCATCGCAGTAGGAACCCGAACAACGCCAAAGGAACGTAGTACAGACGTGGTAGAGTCGCCATGTAAACGCGGAGAAAAGGATCGGGGGAACCAATGGCGACCTTACTGCGTCCTTACCACGTCTATGGGGTTCTTACCACGACCCCATCACGTCTATGGCGTCCTTACCGCGATGTCAGGGCGGATATTTCGGGATTTGAGCTATTGTCCGCGACCTTACAACGTTCTCAATGCGTCCCTGCGGCGTTAATGGCGTTTCTACGGGGTGCCTACTACGACTATTGCGTTTCTACGGAGTTTGCACTGCGTTCCTAGCGCGTTCCTACTGTTCGCCCTCGAAGAGCTATAAAACCCAATATTTCATCCTATCTTTATCAGTGTATTTCTCGTACTCACCAGCATCAGGGCCGAATAAATGATGAACTTGCTCGCAGCTGCAACATATACTTATTGTCCAGCAGGAGATGACGCTGGTGCTGGAGATATTGAGGCTGTCCTGGCTGCTATACCTCGCCCACGCCCACGGCCCCTGGTTTTCGGCATAACGTTGCGTATAAGTTTAAAATGCGTACACGTTAAAATGCATGACCTCAACGGATGAGAGTAAAATAATGAATGAAGCTTTCCGAAAGAACAGTGGAGTTTTATACTCGCAGCGAGGACGCCGTTGGGTCGCCCTGCAGTCGCCGTGGGAACGCCATGCACGCGGTAAGGTCGTGGTAGAAACGCTAAGAACGCAGTGGGGTCGCATTGGGGTCGCCGCTGATCGCCTTATGGACGCCGCAGTGACGCCGTGTAAACTCAATAGAAACTCCAAGGACGCAGTAAGAACGCGGTAAGGTCGTGTTGGAACGCCGTGTACATACACAGGTGGCAGAGCACAGAACTCCGGTGTGACGGCTGACTCGAAATCTGGATTTATTTTAGAAAAATCATTGGCGTTCTCAATGCGACCATCGGCGTTCTCCAAAATATGACAGTTTAGGACGCGGTAAGGACGCCAGTCCGGTGTGACGGCAGTATAACACAAGATACATGTGCTCTGTGTTAGACGTGTATAAGCTGCTAGTAGATAGACAATACATTTGATATTCGTTCAGGATGTCTGCTATTAGATATTAAGTTATTAAAAAAAGTGAAACGTCATTTATCATAATGGTTATTCCAGTTACCTTGGAAATACACATTTTACTTTACAACCGAAACATAAAGATTTTTATGTTTATTATAAATGCGTGTAGTGGTATTGTCTTTGAAATGTGTCATCAATTTATTATTTAAGTTGAAACTCAAATTCACAAATCAGACTTTACACGATTTTCGTTGTGTGGAAATCTTTTTATTTCTTTTAAAATTAACGCAACATGCTTCCTTAAGCCTACATCGCGAACACCAGTTCTGTCAGATAAATGCTCCGCCTAGAAAATGGCATTAGCCAGAACATACAGCTTCTTAAGCTAGGCGTCCTCAGTTCGTTTTAAACTTAAGCACGTCTGAAATTGAGCAATAAACACAGTAAAATAGTCAAATGTTTAGAACGCAATCAATAACCGTAATGTATGAAGTAAACGATAATAATACCAGTAACCTTGGAACAACCTTGTTTAATACTGGGTCCGTAATCATCCCATTCTATGTTCAGTTCCTAATTGTTCCGGTGAAAAAATAATACAAAATCACATGTTTATTCGTGTTTTTAAAGCAAATTTGGAGAAAACTATTTCCGATGATAACACATGACTTTTTGATCGTGTCCCATAATGTAAGTGTGTTACAAGACAGCTGATTTACAATGTACTTCTTTAAAGACACATACTTGAGCATGAATCAGTTTCATGGAAAACAGACCGGGTTTAGCTCAAGGTTGAGAGTTTTACTACTTTGCTACAACATAATGACTCTAAAAAGTGATTTTTTTCTTAAAAATAAACAAATAATTCCTCTGTATTCATAAATATTTAGTTAATCAGTAAGCAACTCGAGGTTACCCGATACCTGATATATTGGAGCGCTTCTTCACTGGAGATACACAGCAGAGCGCTAAGACTCTATACTGTGACTAGGAGATTCATTTATTGTAACGATAGTTTCAGCATTAATCTGTATTTTGGTCAGAGGTGTACTGCTATGGTTATAACGCTCACGCGTTATTCGACTTGTGTGCATTTTCCCTTAGATTTATAGCACCACAATTCCATAAAGTACAGTTTAATGTTGAATAAATGCACAGATCAATGAATTTTAACGATGAATTTTAAGTGTCTTGCATAAAATTTAACAATTGAATATTTAAGTGATAATATGAAACCCCCTCAGTTGAATAAAGTCAGATTCCTTTCTTTTCAAACAAATATACAGTTTGATCAACTGACATAGGAAATTGATATGACAAGCCGTCATGTTACATTTGTCATACTTGGTTTAAGTGCGAAATGTTAGAAATTAAGACATTAAACGGAAAACAAATTTGGCATAGCTAAGAATGAGGCACGATATTATGGCTACAGTTTCCGTGATGTTCATATTATGTCTGCTCTCATTAAAGATCA